TTATTCTTCAAACAAAAATATTCTTAATTTATCTTTTTCCGCGGCTATGACGATTATAACGTATATTATTCTTTCTCTTAGAATTGATTTAGTTAGATTCAACTGTCCTATATTAAGTTATATTCTTTTTATTATTCTTTCGGTTTCAGGATTTTCTCCTAACTAATCTAGAACGATCAGTGTCGCACATCTGACCTTGGTAGGTGGGTCTCTTAGCAAAGATTTTCTATATACATAATGATTCAAACTCAGAATTTATTTAAGGGAATATTCAATTATTTTTTTTAATATTTCTGTTGAGATTTTGACATTCCAATTTTTTGTGATTAAGTTTTCTATAATAAAAACATATAATTTCAGAGGGAAATATAGATCGTGTACATGTGTTTGTTATAACCTTGAGTCTTAAAATCTTGGCAATTCTCCCATTTTATACAGGACACTTGTTTTAAAAGTAGTGGTTAACAAAATGTGTGTTAAATTGTTTCACCTCGATGAACCTTGAGGTGCAAAATGTGTCACCCAATTAAGATAAAGATTAGTGGACAATGGATATTTAATAGAGTTTTCATGTTAACGCTAACTTCAAGGTTTAATTAGCATGGGTTTCTAAATCTATGAACTGAGAGCTGATTCGGTTTCGCTTGTCCTTTACCCAATCCTATTCGCTTAGTGACATTTTGGGTATTAATTTATCATCCACAAAATGCTAAGCCTATGAGATTATGCCAGTGGAGCTGTGTATTTTATTAGAAATCAAAGGCAAGTCCACTAATCGGTGGACACCTAAAACATTAGAAATATTGAAGAAAGTGTTAAAAAGGGCAGGGGTATCCAATGGAGTTGGGTTTTCTAGGTTGAGGGCGTGGCACCCTACTTTTCCTCCATTCCTTTTCTGATTAATTAACTCGTTAATATAGGGCTTGGAATTGTTGATTAACTTAATTATTATTTGATTAGTACAATCTGATTAGGACAGATGGTAACATAGGCCACATGCTTTATGCCCTACAGTTTACACTATTGTTGTTTGCTTATTGGCCACCCCTTTTAATTTCTATATATATTTATAAAAGAGAAATATTAACCAGCATTATATTTAGTAAAATTATCTAAGAAAAAGAGTTACAAATAACATTGAGTAAATAATGGTAAAATAAAAAAATATAAGAATATATTTTTACGTAAAAAAATTAAAAGAAAAAATTATGATTAAAAAGAGAATATTATATTATAATTTTTTTAATAGAATCAACTAATTTTATTCAAAATAGAAAAATCTTAAATTACAATAAAGATTTAAAATCACAATCGTAAATCAAGTTCATAATTAGGAAAATTTCCTATAATCATTGAAATAAAACTAGTAATTTAAGATCACATAAGAACCATACAAGGAAATACTAAATCTAACCAAGAAATTCGAGCAAAGATATATACAAACAGATCTTATTGCATCGACAAAAGAACCACAAAAGTGGATCAAACTATTGAAAGACCACTGACAAGCCGCAAATCAAACTCGAGCAACGTGAAAAATTATCCACGAACGCAGAACGGATATCCAAATCCAATTTGAGGATCTTAAACAATGAAAATCAACAAAATATCATATAAACATCATCTCGATCAGTCGTGGTGATGTCAAATTAACCACTTAGGGCCCGTTTGGTTTATGGAATGTATGATTACCTCGGGGAATATGATTACTGGAAATGTAACATTACCTAACACATTACTGAGAATGTTACATTATTGTATTTGGTTAGTTTGACAGGAATGTAAGATTATATTGTTTAGTTAAATGAATAAAAGATTACTAGAATGTGTATTTTAACAAATTGTCCTTGTGATTAATTTCTTTTTAAACAAGTTGAATTTTAAATATTCAAATGAAAATATTTATGTAATAATTCATAGAAATATATTATTTTTATATTTTTATATAAAATTCAAATTCATAAAGTTTATTTTTTACAAAATTTAAAAGATTAATGAGTAGAATAAAAAAATAAACATATCATATATTCTTTTAATCTTAATCAATATTAGTTTTTACATCAACTATCTAGAAATATATTAACATCAACATTTAACTATAGAAGAATATGAAAATTTTAATAGTTTATTTTAATCGTTTTAGTTCTAACGAAATGAACATGGATCACTTTATTTTTTTTAAAGATTATTTTCAATGTATTGATTAGAATACATATATATTATTAAAGAAAATTACTTTTTTAATATCTAAATTCGTTTAATTTTTTTTTGATATAACATTTAGAAAAGAGTTAGTTGGAGGTTTTAAGGTCTCGTAGCAACGTGGAAGATAACTCCAATGGCGGCTCTAAGAAAATAGTAGCAGCAATGGGGGCTCCTCGGCTCAAAGCAGCCAATCTATCCGCAACTCTATTACGCTCACGACATATGTGATACATTTGTGACCCATTCAAGTTCAAGCAGTTCATGGATCTTAAAGATCAAAACACTCCCCCACAAGCGCATCCAATGATAAATTCGTTTAATATTGATATTAAGTAAATCTTTCAAAATAATTCTTAAACTCCTATACACAACCAATTTAATATCACAATATTTGAGTATATGAGGGAATCAGTTGATTGAAGTTTTTTTTTTAAGTTTAGAGTTTTCATTTACCATAATTTATTGATTAGTTTCTTTATATTCTTTTTTAATTGTTTGTTTATAAGTTAGTTATACAAAATTATCATAATTATTTATAAACTAGTTATAGCTTTGGGCAGTGAACACAATTTATTTTATGATTTGTCAGTGTATATTGAATTTGGGTCTTGCTCTTCATTTTTGTTTATGGTAACACTAACAGAATATTAATGATGAATAAACAAAATATCTATTTTTTTAGTACTTTTTGCCTTTATTTAAACTTTTTGATATTAGAAAAGTGATGTTAATAAATAAATAAAATATAAACACCTAATAAAATTTGACAAACCTCATATTGTAAAACTCATTGTTGTTGGTAGCAAAGCAAGAACAAGTACAACAGGTTTGGAAAAGTAAAGAAACCACAAGTTTTGTACATACGCACTCCATATTCTATTGAAATATCCATATACTCAATATAAAATATGAATCAAATACTTGAATGAAAATCGCCTAAACATATGAACTATTCATGTTACATAAAAAAATTTCCCATATAATTTAGAGGCTTGCATTCTTGTTCAGTTTACAAACAAAAATAAGTAGAACATTAATAATAAAAAAACAACACCTATGTTCAGATCAACAAAAGATAATAGCATGGCATTATAAACTTAAGCATATATGTTGGCTATATCATATACACAAAAAATTGTTACATTAAAAGTAGTTTGACATATACTTAGATAAAAAATTGACAGCATGTTCTAAAGCCAAAATCAAAAAGAGGTGCACACATCTATAAAATGACCAAAGTCACAAGGATGGTTAATACATATGGCATTCAAGTAAGTGCTTAATCACAATCCCTTTTTAATTCTTTTGGCAAAGAAAAGAAGAAATCTACCTTGTTCGCATCTTTGGTGATATACTCTCATACAGAAAGCATTTCATCGTTAGAGAGGCCTTCAATTTTCATGATTTTTCGTTGAAAATTGAGATTCTTCAATCATTTCCTTCCGCCTCCTTTTTAAGATATACAGTAATGTTCTTAATTTATTGGGCAGTTTCTCGATATGAAAACTAAGTATTATTAATCGAAATGAAACAAGAAAAGGGGAGGAGAAATCTTACCAGAAGGAAAGGATTGGAAAAGAAAAGTGACTTTTCTTTATAAAATGAAGCTACATCAACGATCAAAGGTGAAGGAAAAAAATAATAAAACTAGGGATTTAACATACAATAGGAGCAAAAGGAATGATATTTTTGAAATAAGTCTTTTATTTCTAGGATATTTTAGTCCATATTGATGAAAATTGAGGAAAACCTAAGCCATGGGAGGGATTAGTATTCCCGGTAAAACACCCAAAAAATTGTACTGTTGGAAATGGTTTATTCCCACATATCCAAAATCTTTGCAAACCAAACATGGGTATTAAATTATTGAAAAACATTTTCCCCTAGTAATCATCTTTTCCACCATCCAAACAGCCCTTTAGAAAAAAAGATAAATAAAAAAAGTTTAAAGAACCGAAAAACATACCAAAAAATATAAGAAAACTTGTTATAAAGACAAATGAAAATGTGCAACACATATAGATTTATTAAAAATCAAAAATCAAAAAAATAAAGATACGATATAAAAATAAAATAATATTGATGATCGATAATCAATATTAAAATAAATGCCGCTGTCTATGAATAAAAACTAAAAAGGAAATAGATGAGTGACACACCAATAAGAGAAAACTAAGTTTTAGGATAAAAGTTAAGTAATATTATATTATAATTGACAATAAATATTACAAATTGATTATAAGAGAAAACAGTAAATCTTAGTCGAATAAAATTATAACAGACAACCTCAGATTCATCGCTCTAGATCCACTATAAATTCTTAATTTTTCTCTCAATTTAATTCTTTATCAAACAAATTGTATAATAATTTTTTTGGATCAAATCATATAAATTTTGAATTATAAATTCTTATAAAAATATACTTATGATATTATTTTTAATTTAAAATTATATAAAAAATTACATATCATATCAATATATGATATTTTAATCTATATGATAATATGTAATTATATTTGAAAAAAGTTATTCATTAGTTTTATTTAGAAGTTATTCATTAGTTGAATTAATAAGAAGCACTGTACCAGTATGTTGATTGAAGGGGTAAATAATTTGATATCTCTCTCATTAAAATTAATGTACGATTCGAATCGATTTAAATTAATTAGGTTGAAGTAATGAAACTGGAAGTTAAAAAAAAAGTACGGTGATTAATTTAGTGGTCTAAAATATAATATAGCTTCCATAGGGGTGCTAGCGATTGTAAATTAATCTGTAATTCCCAGTTCTTTATATTTATTTTATTATTTCCCCTATATATCGTCTCTTCTCTCTCTTCCTTTACTTCAAGTGTTGGTGCTTAAGCTCTACAGACTTGCAAGTCTGTAATAAAAATCCCTTTCCCCTTCCCTGGTAAGCTTCTCCTTCCCTCTCTGCTATTTGTCTTTGTATTTTGTTGTTTTCAGGTCTTTGTATTTTCTTATCTATGTTTATGAATGGATATTTATTATCTGCTTAACTTTTTCGATCTTTGATCAACTACATGTTATAGATCTTTTTTTCTTGGTTTATTTTGCTTTATTCAGTTTAGATTTCTACGTAGGATAGTGTTAAAAGATTAAATCTTTGCATTCCAAAGCCTGCATGTGAGTTTCATTATCTTTTGAATGTTTGATCAACTGCTGATATGAAATAACCTGGATTTCTCATCTATCGGGTTCTTCATAAGCATAAACTAGATTGTTAATCAGGTTCTGAAACAATCTGGTTTTGTTTTGTAGGGTGTTTTTTTCTTCTTCTTTTTATGTAATCCTTTACCTGTTTCTGTGAAAACAACATGGCTGCGGATAGCTTTCTTATGCCCCCATGCCGAAAGATTCGGATTCGAGAAGCTAAAGAACCGAATCCGAATCGTAGTGATTACTCAGGTGTAGAAGAACCTCAGGATGCAGATTACCCTTATGTTCCCCAGCTCAGTGATGACATCGAGAAATCGATATTGGCTCGATTTCCTCTATCGGAATATTGGAAACTTAACTTCTTAAACAAGCATTTCTCACGTCTTGTAAAGTGGTGAGTTGTTAAGGTTAGGAGGCAAATTGGGTTTAAAGAATCATCTATATTCATGTCAGCTAGTGGGGGAAACTGTTGGTGGGCATTTGATAGGCTATTCAAGTGTTGCAGGCAGCTTCCGGAGTTACCGTCTAGGGATGTGTGCTTTATCGGTGGTGATAAAGAGTCGCTTTGTGCCGGGAGCCATTTGATTGTGTCGGGAAGAGAGTTCACTGAAGGCAATGTTGTGTGGAGGTTTGAACTCGAAACTAGCAGATGGTTTAAAGGGCCTTCGATGATGGATCCTCGATGTTTGTTCGCCTCTGCCACTTGTGGTACATTCGGATTTGTAGCCGGTGGAATCGAGATGGGGTTACTAGGGGCCAAGGTGTTGAATTCAGCCGAGAAATATAATCCGGAGACCAAGTCATGGGAGAGTCTCCCATGTATGCATAAGAAAAGAAAGCTTTGCTCAGGTTGTTTCATGGATGACAAGTTCTATGTAATAGGAGGGAAAGACGAAAAAGACATGGAACTCACTTGTGGGGAGGCATATAACAAGGATAAGAACACATGGCAACTGCTACCTGACATGCTGAAAGACGAAGATAATCCGGTCGCGAAACGGCAATCACCACCCCTTCTAGCCGTGGTGAACAACGAGCTATACTGTCTCGAAACATCTTCGAATGAGCTCAAGGTGTACCTTAAGAACACCAACACATGGAAGAAACTTGGAGAGGTACCGGTTAGAGCCGATCTTCATAAAGGATGGGGAGTGGCTTTTAAGTCACTTGGCAACGAACTATTGGTTATTGGATACTCATCGGCCATTGCAAATGGCAACGGCAATTGCAATGGGATGACGATATACACTTGCAGACCGGAAGCCGAGAGAGAGGAATTGCGATGGAGGTGCATCGAGGGATACAAGGACCGTCTAAACTTCTTTCTCCTCAACTGTTGTGTGATGGTAGCTTGACCATACAGTGTTTAATAGGGTGAATAAAAGATGGAGGGAATTGTAAGAAACTTCCATATATGTTGTTGTTCCATGTGCTGTGTGCTTCAAAACTAAACTTTTATGAACATAATGGGGGGTGTAGACCGTGGGCAAAACCTGCTGCCTTTTCAATTTCCATATATTCTCCTACTCTTTATATAATCTTAGTTAATTTTGAACCAAATACGTAAAATTAGTTTTTCTTTTTATTTTCTATTTTCTATTTTTCAAAATATAGTTTTCATTTTTAGTTTTCTTTGAAAATTAAAAAATATGTTTTATTAATATAAATGAAAACTTTGCTTTCGGAAATAAAATTAATTAAAATATGTGTTTGACATCTATTTTTCAGAATATAGATAAACAAATAGTTATTAAATAATTGTATTAAAATATAATTATTAAAAAATTATTACATGAATAATATGTGAGTTATGCATATATAAACAATAAAGTTGATAAAAATTATAGCACAAAAATTATTTTAATTTATAATAATAATATAAAGTTAATGAAGACATCAATTAAATTAAAAACAAGTGTAAAATATTGTTGTAAACAAGAATATAGAAAAGTGTCGTTAAATTTTAAAAAAATATGTTTAGTGGTATTTAAGGTCATCAATGTTTTTGGAAAAAAATTATTGTATTCATTTAACTTTTTTACACTCAAATGTCTTTAAATTGAAAAAAAAATCAATCTAACCTTTGATTAACGGAATCAAACGTAGACTGTCACGACCGTTCACAAAGCTTACATGAAAACTTACTGATGTGATTGTTTATGATATTGTTGTGGTAATACATGATAGATGATGATGATGTGGCAGATGAGTTTAATTAAATTTTTGGTTAAGTTCAATGTCCTAATTTATTATTTTAGAAAGTTTAAAGATTTAATTTTTTTAGAAAATTAAAAAAATATTTAAATTTTAAAAAATAAAATATAAACAATTATTAAGATAATTAACACATTAAATATAAAAATACTAAAAAATTAAATTAATGAAAAAATAATTTAAGGATCAAAATGAGTGTAAAAAAAGGTTTATGGACCATATATATTTTTTTGCAAAAGTTTGAAGGTTTTAGATATCATTAAATCAAAAATTATTGTTAAAATGATTTGAATCTGTGTAAGTTAAGTTAAAATCTAGTTTCTATGTATTTCAAGTTTAGAATTTCGAAAATTTTTAATTAAAATAGTGAAAACATTTTTTTATATTTTTATATTTTCATTTATTTTGATTTCACTTTTCAAAATTATTTTTTAATTTTACAACTAAGGATATTTTCTTCACGTTTCTATTTTTAAAAAAAAGAAAATAGTCTATATTTTATAGAACCAAATAGACATTTAGTGTTGAATTATGATGTTTTGAAGTGAGATAAAAGAAATTTTAAATTCAAACTTTTATTAAAAGGATTTCAAAGAATAAATTACTTATTTTTACTTAAATTTAAAATATGACAAGTTAAGAGATGAATTAATTAGAGTGACTAAGGAAACATTGATAATTATCCGTCTTCAAATATTCAAATTCGATTCTTTTCCTTTAATCATATGAGTTATTATGATTAAATTATTTTTTAATACATTTTTTTTGTGTTTTGTAATTATTAGTTTCGATATTAATCTATTGAGATATATTTATATTTCTATTTCAAAATTAAACATGTAGAGACCAACTTATCTTTTATCGTAAAACTACAAATTGATTCCTTAGGCTACTGTACGAAGACAGATGATTTATTAATTGCGTTATTATTTTGATGTAAAATAGTGGTTAATTAATCAAAAGAATTGTGGTCAATATTTTTTCTATGTCAATATTTTTCTAGTTTTATTAGTATATTAAAAAATTACATTTATATTTATTATTATTATTATTATTCTATATAATAAGAATAATTTACGTAGATTAAAACATTTGAATAATATAAAATATATTTGATATATTTTTGAATAATATAATAAGAATCCGTGGGGGAATAAGGAGACCCAGGTATTGTGGAGTCCTATTGTGATCAAGTGGAGTCTATCAAGTAGGACTGTTTAAAAATATCTCATTAGATTGATTTGGTATGTTGACTCGACGATCCGAATTAAAAAAAATCGGGTAATTATATAAAAAAAACCTGACCGGGTCGGGTGTGTTAAAAATATATGATTGGATTGATTTGGTATGTTGACCCGACGATCCGAACTAAAAAAACTGGGTAATTATTAAAAAAATACATGACCGGGTCGGGTACCCGATCCGACTTTTCCCGAGTCGGGCCCGAGTCAAAAAATTAAATTTTTTTGAGTACCTGGTTACACGAATATCCTGTTATTTATATTTTTTATGTATATAATAATATTACATATTTAATTATTATAATTAAATATATTAAATTAAACTAATAAAATTAAAAAAAATCACCCAATGTATGTTTAATAATTAATATAATATTTTGTTTAATAGTATAAGTTGTATGTTGTTTTAAAATTAATAGTTTAAAAATAATAAAAAAAAACGGGTATCCGATTACTCAAATTACGAGTAGCCGTAAAATTGGATACCCACAACATTCCGGTCGGGACATGGGCAGGCCAATCAACTACCCGAAAACCCGGGTACCCGGATTTAAACACCCCTACTATGAAGGACAAGTTCAAGGACGAGATACAACAAGTTGGAGACGATTCGAGGGAGTAATGCTCATGCAACTGAGGTAATGACTTTGAGGAATGAGATGGATGAGGATGAGCCAAAGAAGGAGTTTCTTATGTGCAAGAGAGCAACAAGTGAATGAGATGAAGCTCAAGATCTTCTTAAAGTGACTTAAACCATGGGCGAAGCTCACAGTGGGCGCGCCCATATCCTTAGAGATCTTCAATCTAAGGAATGAAATGGGTTAATTGATGTAATTAGGTAAGGATTGATTTGATACCTTAGATTAGGGGATTTATACTCATCTGAGTCGTTGATGTAAATAGATTCAAGCCATTGATCGAGAGGGAGCTCAGTATAAATAGAAAATTTCCCCAACTCATTTGTATCATCTCTTGTATTAATTCATCCATTCTCTTGAGAGAGTAATAAAATTTTGAGGCATTTATGCTAATTCTCTTTGCCCCTTCTATTATTCTAATTCTCTTTGTGCATGTTGTCTCTCTAGATTACTAGAGTAGACCCTGTATTGTTTACACTTCCACATAAGGTGACCAATTTTGGTGACTTTCATAGCCACTTTTGTGTTAAAGCTTCCGCATCTAACAAAGCCTTGAAGGTTTGTTACCAGCCTTTATCAAGTTTGCATTCTCACAAGGTGTGGTTTGGAACTTAGACGCAGAACCTTCTAAGAAGTGTCAAAGAGCATCTAAGGCCACAAGTCTCGTTGGATCGAAACTTTGTGAGCTTGACAAACACGACTAATCAATTTTACAATAAAAAGTCTATCTAAAAATTATACATCATCAATGATACAAGAAACATAGTTTTACACGAAAAAACTTGCACATTATCAATAATACAAGATACATTATTTCACCCACACAAAAAAATCATTTAATAGAAAAGATAAAAACAACAAATATAAAAGGTCCAACTAAAAGGTGCATTCAGGATGTAACAATATTTTAAGTATCATGATAACTACAAAATTTACTTTTAGTTATGACTTTTTAAAAAAATTGATGATTGAGAATAATAAAATTCAAAAAAATATGATTTTTGTTTAGGGTATAGTTTGGAAAGGTGTATTGATTAGATGATTGATTCAACCATTCAATATTAGCATTTATGAGTCATCTAATTATTTAAAATAATTAGTTTGATTGATCACGAATGATGTTTCAATTGTTCATTTAATTAAATTTGTACATTAAAGGTAAATTATAAAATAACCCTTTAAAGTATCAGAATTAATTTACAAAAAAATAGATATAAATCGTAAGCAGCAATGTATTCACTACTGGATTTTGAAAAGAACAAAAAAGATGCTATATTTGCTTGATCCTTTTAAATGATGATGATATACAGTGTTCCTGTTCTTTAAGCACATGGTATACCAATCTCTGTCGTAGTTACAAAGATGAACCAGATAAGATCCTCTTACCTTAAATTTACCTTCTTTAAATTCTCGTGGTTCTTTATGGACAAATGTTTTACCACTGTTACAGATGCTCTTTGCAAAAGCTTCCTCCATTTTCTGTCTGGCAAAATTTCTTATATTAACATAAAGGGAAACAAACTTTGCAAGGAAAAGCAAATTCTGGAAGAAAAAAAATATCCCAAAGAAAAAAACACAAGTCATATGATAAAATGGTACAAATGCAACGTAATAGCAATGTAAAATTTTGAATATCACATTGCAAGTCCCTTCACATATGCATGTAAACTGATCTGGAAATCTGAAAATAACTATGCAACTCATACCTATTAAAGCTGGCTTTAAACTTTTGACTTTCTCCAGGTCCAGACGAAAGCTAAACATTTTCTACAGCGCTCATCTGAGTTGCACGTTTAAGAAGGCTTCTGTAGTCAATGCTTCTTGACCATTCATCGATCTCACGAGCTCGTAGAACAGGCAGTGGATGTGAGAGTTGTCGCGTTTGAGCATTTCTGAACATCATGAGACAATTAGAGACAACCAAAAGGGGATTGCTAGGGAGAATTCTAAATTGCTTAACTCAACCATTGCTTACCTTATATAATAACCAATTGGGCTCGAAGAAGCCTTATCATAAGAGCGAGCTTGCTCTAAAAATGCATCCACATTTAACTGGTCAGCCATGGATGGGCAGCCACCAGCTAACTTCATCAAAACAGAGATGACAACCTCTTGTCGGCACATTACAAAGAAAGTCAGATAATGGAATCTCAACAATTTAATTGCAGATTATGTTGGCTCAGGGAAAGCTGTTGCATACCTTCGGATCTTGTGCGACGAGAAGGGCTGCCCGATCGCAAGTAAGCTCTGCTGCCCTAAGCCAACGGAATAACTGTTCCTCTAAAGTCTGAGCTATAAAACCACCAAGTCCTGTGAAAAACAAAGGCATTCAACGCTATGCTGTATATTAACTGCATATATACTCCCACCTGATATACATATTCAACCAAAACTAAGGTCATATAGGGATAAAATAGTTATTCTTTTTGGAGGATAACATGATAATGGGCCATCTAAATTTTATATACTAGTTCCTTAAACATTTTAGTCCCTTGTAAATCATCATCATCATTCAGCATATGTTGATGATATAATTCTCACTGGGAGTAGTGAGAATGAGGTTCAAACTGTTATTGACAAATGGAATAAACATCTGGCTTTGAAGGATCTTGGACCTCTTAGTTTCTTCTTGGGAATAGAAGCGTGTCATGACAAGTGCACCAAACTTAAGCTAAGAACCATTTATCCTGAAAGTCCATATGCTGCTTTAGTATTGTCTGAGATGTTTTCTCACACTTCTAATGTGCTCTAGTTAAATAAAAAAAAGGTATCAGAGTAGCAAAGCTTCCACAAGCAATGGAAAGAACCAAATTCATACCAGGAATAGTATAGGCTCCAAGTGTGAGAAGATTTGCAAAGGTAAGCCATACACCATGATCACATTTGAGATGACCCAATTCATGGGCCAAAACAGCCTGTTTCAAAGTTGCAAAACACTAAATTATGGCACTTTCTTTTAAAACACACCACTACTATGAAAAATAAATCATATGTAATCCGATTTATACATTTATAATCATATGTGCATATGAAAACATTTTGTAATAATAAAAGATCAAAGAGAATTGAAAGAAACTAAATCAAACTAAAAAAAATGAACTTTTATCGTGAAGATTTCATGTAGCAGTCAATGTACTAAAAGGGGAAAACAAAAGGAATGGACAATCAGTTTAAGTCATTTCGTGAAAAAAAGAGAGCGGGAAAGAAGTGAAGACCTGCAATTCGTTTCGTGTCAGAAGCTCCACAAGACTAGTATGAATGACAACAAATGGTTTTTTACCACTTATAGCCAATGTATAAGCATTTGGAACAGGACTTTGCCGAACATAGAGATCTGGAGGTTCAATATTCAATATACCCGCAGCTTCGATAATCATTTTATGAAGTTCGGGAAGCTGATACAAGAAAAGAAAAAGACAGTAATTTGAAACAAGTTGCGGTGGATACAACCAGTATAACAAGTTTAAAAAACAACTTTCTCAACATCAAGTAACCTGGTCTTTTGAAACAAGGACTGAAGTCCCTATATTCTCAAGAAGCATGATTTGCTCTGTCATGGTTCCTGCTACAAAGCATTAAAAAATAGCTAGATTGACATTGAGATTTACCATAATTATAACCATTTGTTTTGGTCTAGCCATAGTTTCAAAGTAGTAAATAAATGTCAAAATTACATGATTTCCCTTTAAAATCTAGGAATTTCCTCCCTTTTAATCAAGTTTAGTTTTTTTTTTACGATCTAGTTTTGAATTTTTGAAAATTATGCAAAAATTATCAAATTTAATTAGTAAAGCAATTACCTAGTAAAGCTCTTCCTATTTCGTTAAGCCCAGGAATCGCTTTCAATAACAGCGTGTTCTACAACCAAAACAAGAAAAACAAATAAATTTTGTTAAAATAAATTATGAATTAAATTCGTTACATTTCCAATAGAAACCCCACCTGTTTATCGAGTGGATGCCGGAAATCATCGGCGTCGAGGTCCCGGAACACAAGCGGAGAAGCTCTGGAGTAAACCGAAACCCTAATTCTCCCGTTTCTCTTCTTCGCCGGTCGGAATCCGATTGAGAACGGAGCGACGAATCTGGACTCCGTTGGAGCTCCGAAGCTGAAACGGAGCGAGGACGTGAAAGAAGAAGGCTTTTGAGAAGTAAAATAGAGAGAAGAGAGAAGCAAAGAAGCCATTGATTACAAGAAAAAAAACGCCAAGAGAATGGTTAGCGTGTATGGAATTCTTTGGATTTTCTTTTCGTTTTATTAGTGAAATTTTCAAAGATATTTTTTGTAGTTTTATGGTTACCATTTGGCGCCAATTCTTTATCTTTCGGCCGTTGACGTATTAGGTTTTCCCGCATTTTCAAACTAATCCCAGGGAAAAAAATAGTAAAACCCTTCCATCATGTAAATCCTCCCAAACGTTGCCGTTTCACATGGCGGTCGCCAAAGGGGAAAAGAAATTAAAAATCCCCGTCTTTCTTCAAACATTTCTCATTCTTCAAGCTGTTCCAGGATAAATTTTATTCAATTTCTCTTTCGTTGATTTTTCTTAGAGCTTTAAAATTATGTAAACCTCTTGATTCTATTTAAATTTCAGTAAATAGGTAACCAAGATCGTATCTTTAAGTTAAATTGATTTTTCATAACAGGAAAATTCGTAATCGACCACCACTCCAGTTGCTGCAGACGATCAAGGGAAAGAACCCACCCTTCAAGAAATTATTAACATCAAGGTCAAAAAAATAGTAAAACCCTTCCATCATGTAAATCCTCCCAAACGTTGCCGTTTCACATGGCGGTCGCCAAAGGGGAAAAGAAATTAAAAATCCCCGTCTTTCTTCAAACATTTCTCATTCTTCAAGCTGTTTCCAGGATAAAATTTTATTCAATTTCTTCTTTCGTTGATTTTTCTTAGAGCTTTAAAATTATGTAAACCTCTTGATTCTATTTAAATTTCAGTAAATAGGTAACCAAGATCGTATCTTTAAGTTAAATTGATTTTTCATAACAGGAAACATTCAGTAAATCGACCACCAACTCCAGTTGCTGCAGACGATCAAGGGAAAGAACCCACCCTTCAAGAAATTATTAACATCAAGGTCTTTTTTTTTTCTTTTTTAATTATTGAAAAGATTTTGGTTATTTTAAAAAAAAAAGTTTATTTACTGTGATTTCATTGAATTTTGTAGTTGATCGAGAGTGGGGAAAAAGAGAGATTAATGGAGCTGTTAAGAGAAAGGCTTATAGACTGTGGTTGGAAGGATGAGATGAAAGCTATTTGCAGGTTTTTACTTTTTACTGTTTCCTTTCTTTCAAGCAATTGTTTGAACTTAGATCAATGGTAGTTTCTTTGCAGTGTCTGAAAGGGTTAGCAACTTCGAATTGTTAGTATCTAAAAGTGGACAGAATGTTGAAGATTCATAGAGATAGAATTAGAAATTAGAGTAATTAGAATCAAGTAGTTTCATGTTGCTGTATATGAAAGGATTGGCGTTTGTAGTGTCTGAAAGTGGATAGTTTTGAATATTCATCGTTGTTAAGGAAATTAGAATTCTTCGAACTAATTAGTGTAACCTTATTAACAATACTTCACAATAGGATTTTTTTCCAACCGTCGGTTTTATTAAGTGAGTAATCCATGGGAATAAATTGGTTAAGTGGTTCTTAGGGTTTTTTTAATTGTTGATTCCTACTCTGTGTAAACACAATTTGCAGGCTATGTGCAAATGTTACAGATATGCTTATGCTGCATTTTCTGGATGCTGACTGAAAGCTAGTGGTGTTTTCTATTATGATCGTGTATGAAAGATGCTTAGGGTTATTATTGATGCATCTAATTGTATCTAGCAATGTGATGTCGTGTGATGCTTCGGAGAATGACGACATATATATATATATGGAAATTCTCTTGTTAGTTGTGAGAAGCTGTATAACTCTTGTTGACCTTTTCTTCTTAAGGACATACAATAGATAAACGAAGTGTCATTTCATAAAATAGATAATGTTCCACCGATGGCTTATTTCCTGTAAAATTTAGTTTTTTATCCAATAAGCCATTTAGTTCTTTATGTCCAATCCTGATTATTTTTCATGAAACATCTTTCCGTGATGAATGATAGGGCGTATATTAAGAAGAAAGGAAGAAACAATGTCACTGTAGATGACCTTGTGCATTTGATCACCCCAAAAGGCAGAGGTAAGGATCTATTTTTTTTCCTTCCATTATACGTTGTTTTATATACGGTTTGGTTAAACCCTTGCTTATGCAGCTTCCGTTCCTGACACCATAAAGGCCGAGCTCTTGCAAAGAATTCATATGTTTCTCATGTCTGCTGCTCTTTGATCATCAGCGTGCGTAGGAAAGCAATAGAGCAGCTCATACTTGCTTGATGGGTTTGAATGGTAAGCTTGTTAGGGTTTGGCTGTACCAGCAAGTCTTGTTTAAGGTAATGTTGTTTATTTGAAATACCTGAATACTATTAGGCTGAAGGAATGATCAGTGTTCGCAGCAAGTTGGACGGAACTTCGTTTATGCTTTATTGATGTTTACAATTGTCCGCTATCATATCTATTCCCTATTGCTGTAATCTTTGGAACTTTGGGATAGAAAACTCTGCATTAGTCCTCTGGTGGGAGTTAAGTTTGTTAGTGTTTCTTGAGGATAACAGCGTATACTTTTTCCATTGCCTTCTTTGTACTTCTTTCTTTGTTGAAGCATCCTTTGTTTTGCCTTGTGCATGTTTCAACGAATGCATAATAAAATTATGTTCTCTTGTTTCTTTCGGTTTTGAGTTTCCTAGTGAACATAGTGGCTGTTGAAACGAGCAATTTCCAAGTCTAATTATAACTTAACTAAGATTATCTTGATATCATCATTTGCTTGATTTTGAACCTAAATATCGACATTAGAAAGCTAGAAAGCTTAAGGATTGTTAAAATTTTACTTGACATCCATTGAGATTCTGTCAGCAATAGGAGATTCATTGGCAATAGAAAGAAGATAGGATATAGGTATAAGCACAAAAAGGCACCAATACCTTCATTTCTTAGACTTTTAACATTACACAGTCATATCCCTTTCACATATTGCAAGTCTATCTATAGGGTTTATAATTCATAGATTATCATGCAAAGAGGTTTTACAAAGCATCTTGACAAAACACTAATGCATTTATTCAACTGGCCAACTCCATTTCCTACTTTTTTTTCCAAAGATGATTTCACCAACCGGACTTACACCAACAACTTGCGTTCTATGGAAAATCTTTGATAAGCACACAGCTAACTTGCAGCACAAACCCTATTACATTTGCACTCGGCTGACATTTTGCTTATGGAGAGCCTGCTTGTTCACAAAGGTCTATTAGATCCAAAGTCTGCAAAGTTCAGTACCAAGCTTGTTAGCTTTTGATAATAAAAGAGGAGAAATTGTTGGGGGCGAACTTATAATTGTTTTTCATACCTCAGGAACTGAGAGCTCGAGACGAAACTTAGGACCATCATAGTGGTGCAAGACTGGCCTAAAAGCATCCTCTTCCAATGCTTTGCAGACTTTCCTAATACGGATTCTCACCTATGTATTAGGGTAGAAAATTAAAAGGTTTGGGTTAGTGCAATCTTCCCCTGAAAAAAACAATACAGTTATATGAATGATAAACCCAAACTTTACCTGAGCAGGAAACCTTGACTCGCCTCTACACTTTTTGTCTTCCCAAGCAGTTGGATCAATGTTAGAACTCCCAAAACATGCTGCCTGTTCATATAAGAAATAAAATGGAGGGAGAGATTAAAATGATTATCACAAACTTAATACATCCAAGGCTTATCTCTTCCTTTTGGTACTGAGGTGGAGGTGGGTGAAGGAGCAATCAATCTCACCATTAAAAAGTATTATTGATAAATCTTATTGACTATCACATAAATCTAGCAAATGCAAACATTTGGAGAAAGAAAGGAACTCCAACAGGTGAAGGGCAATACTATCATTGCTTAATCAACCAACAACATCAAGTATCACAAAGTGAATTAAAGGAATGTTAGATGAGAATGAAGTAGAACAAACCTCAAAAATACCATGCAATTGATTAGTTGTGTAGTTATAGAGAAAGAGAGGCAAGCCAGGTGTGATTGCCCGAACAGAGTCCCTGTATCTTGGTGGTAAGCCTATTAAATGAGATAATAGCAACAAGGACTAAGAATTTCTACCTAAAAATGTTAATAATGGGAATTAATGAACCGATAATCTCATATATGAGAACACACGTCTTACCAAACAGTTGGCGCTTTAAATCTTCCTGCATTGTATCATTGTTACAAACAAAGATGTATCCTCCAAGCACTTCATTTCTTGGAAGTGTCTCCGTGGCAGGCAAAGTCTTGAATCTTTTGTCAACAACGTTGCTTGCCTCGTTGCTGTTATTGTTATAGTTGGTGTTGCTGCTATAGTTGACATCTTTGTTGCTATGATTGTTGCCAATATTATTTGTTGCCAGCCAGGTTTCCAAGGGTATTGCTGTTGTTTTTCTGGTAAACAGCATTCATATTGTAACTACCATTTTGGAAGGAACTTTTTCTTACATTATCTCCAGCGTTGGAGTTCAAGTTCAACATATTAAAGTTAAGGTTCTCAAATTTGTTGTCTTCCTGGAACCCAAATTTATCCCTCATCCTCATTTCAGATGGACCCTTAGAAAGATCTAGATTGTTCATACGTTCACCCTTTATCCTCGTCTGTTCAGCCAGTTTTGATGCAGCCATCAACCATTTGTGAACCTCTGAGACTTTCGATTGTCCTCGAAGATCATCTCCCAACTGCCAAAAGTTATTCATGTTCTCCATCTTGCGAATCCTAATCAGAGAAGACAACATAATTTGTAAAGAATTGTTAATTACGAAAGAAGACGTAAAAATAGATCAAAAACTATGCAAACGCGAGAAAAAATATGAATGCAATGATTCGTCATTTGATTCTTTCTTCTCCTAGCTAACACTTGTGAAAACAATGAATGGGAAAAAAATCTTTAAACAGTCAATCCACTCATTTTTATCCAAATGACACATAAAAACCTTGAGAATTCAATCATCATTTGATCGAAAGAGAGAATGTCAAATCACCAAACCAACAAACGCTCGAAAGTTCACATTTCTTTAGCATTTCTCAAAACACAAACAAAGCTCAGAAATCCCAAAACTTAGGAGTCAAGTCTGCACTTGACTAAAAAAGAAACCAGCATTTCTCCAAATCTGAACCCTACACAACAAAATTAAGCTCAAAAACGAAAACCCACACCTCTAAGCAACTCAAAAACGAGAGCCACAAAATCAAAATCATACAAATATAAAGGATTTAAAAACAATGTTGAGATTTAACAAAGAACTAAACAAAGAGTCGCATACTTCACCAGATAAGAAGAGTAAAGCTTCTTTAGCACAAAGGTTGGTTCAAAAGATTTCGAATCCAATTTGAGGAAGATTTAGGGATCCTATGGAAAACGAAAGAGTGCCTTTATCCTTCTATTTATGGCTTGCTGCTGTGCTGTGTATTGTGAAGTGGATTTTCTTTTTATTGAATTTATAGATCCTTGTGACGATAACGCCCCTTGATGGTACTACTATTTTCAGGCTTTTACCCAGTTCGGTTTTTTTAACAAAAGAACAGGTGGACACTGGACGGTGGTGTCAGTGTTTTGAAATTTAGTAAGGTTCGGGGTTTAGTTCTCTTTCGATTACGCGCCCCACTGATCGCGTGTAAAACACCTTTTATTTTTATTTATTTTTTAAAAAGGAACTTGTTAAATATATTTTAGGTAAATATCTACTTGGTCATTTACCTATTAATTAAGTTTTGATATGAAATTTTTATTATCATTTTTAATATTAATATGCCATTATTTTGTTAATATATGAGTGATCAAATAAGTGATTAACCTATATATATTATTAAAGTCTTCATTTATTAAAGGTATCTGCTGAGAATTTCTTACTCTATTAACAATTATACATACGCACTCTATAAATACAGCTGAAAATCTCCGCATACAAAACAATATAAATATCTTGAATTAGTATCCAACATGTAATGGCCATATTTAGACTCGTGAATTCGGTTGTCGGCTCATTATAAAAAATACTTCATACATAAATAGTTGATAAAGCATACCAAACCGCCGTGGTTCAAGTAACATGATCTAATAACAAGTTTGAAATCTGGATCTTTTGGGAGATAATTACTGGAAGCTTCAAAGACACCATCAAGAGAATAAACCACTGGAGAATACTGTGAACCATCAGAATTGTGATGTCTCAATTGGTTCAAATTGTCTGCACAAAGTTAATGCATAAAAAGAGGTACAAAAATCTCGAGAGGGAACTTGTACTTTCAACTGCTGCTTTGTCATCATCAATGCAGGATATTGCACCTTTACTTTTGCTAGCATTATCAGTTCCCAAGCTTTTCATGAATTTCATTGGATCAGCTCCATTCCCATCTGCTGGTTTCAACGAAACAGAGGAATTCGGAAAGTCTGCACGATCGAACATCCTTAGAGGTGAAATGCTGAGTTGAAATGTAAGAACAATGTACTCACCTACTGATTCTGCAACTTCACAGCGAAAGATGAATACATTAAACGTGATTTCGACTATACTAAAGATCTCGGAAACACAAACATCCCCAACATCAAGCTTGTTATCGATCGAGAAGACCTTCCATCCATTGCAGAGTCTTGGTACAAACCGTTTGCTTGTGTTATTATAGTCCTTGCTCCATGTTTTCCCATCAACAACACAATAGATTTTGCATTTCTTCTACGTCAAATATTTCCTAGCAAAGATAATTGGTAAACCCTGCAAGAAACGTATATATATTTCAAATACGAATTCGAGGGTGTGTATATATATATCATATTGAATTGAACAGATTTACCATTCTGTATTTATCAGTGAGAAATGATGGTTGCATGTATCTAATAAAAAAGGAATTTTGGGACTTGAAAGAACTAGCAATTTGACAAGCTTTTTATCCTTCTGTTTGCTTCTCATTGCCCCCACGTACTTCCACCTCCATGTTCTGGACTAGCAATCATCCCTCCATTGCTTTCCGAGCCAAAGCCGATCGTCTGCCTGAAATCAACCGAATTAAGAAACAAACAAAAATGAAACTCAAGTTCTTACTTTTGAACCAAAAGGTCTATACCACTAAATAGACAATTTGAACATCCATTTCTGTTGGAAACATTAACGTATGGTTACCGGACATTGCATTGCTCTTAGTTCTATTAGTGCTCCATCCGATTCTCGACTTCTTACTCATCCTCGGACATGGTGATGGCAATGGTCCCCTTCTTTTCTCCCTTGGGAGAGTGGGAGTCCCATCCAGGATTTCAATAGAGATATCATCATCATCTTTCTTCTTGTTGTTTCACTGCAGTCCTTCGACATTGTTCATTCAAAGTGTGATTTTCAGCATGAATGTATTCAATCTCTGAAGCACCTTTATCGAATATGATAACATTGAAAAGGGGATGCCCTTCGTATCTGAAAACCACAAAGTCTTATAAATCTAACGAGTAATGTTGTACAAAGTTGCTCCACCCTTTTAGCAGATAAAGCTCAGAACCAGACTTGGTTAATTCTACTTCCCAGAGAGTTCCACTCGGGACCTTAAGAAATACTGGGGTTGAGATCCCACTTCCATATTTCCTCACAAATTTTGCAGGAATTTTCTGCATGAAAAAGGAAGAAAACGAGATTAAATAGAAAGTATTCACAATGGGTTTAGAAAATAGAAAATGAAAAGATGACTCGCCATTTTGCCATGCTGAGTAGCATCGGTGAGAAGCACTCTGAAGAAATGAGGTGTTCTGGAGGAGAAGGCTTGGCTTTTAGGATCACTGTTGGAAGCCATTTGATTCAACCAAAGATTAGAGTTTCCCGGGAAAGATGATGTTGTAATTCTCCCAGATAACACTAGACTTGGCTGTTTAAATTTTAAAAACAAAATATAATAACGTCCTGATTTGGAAACAAAAGAAATATCTTTTTTTCCTCACTTGAAATTCGTTCAAATATACACTGAGTGCCATTTGTTAGGTTTTTCGTGAATTATCCCAATCGAATTTCCCCATTGGATAAGGATGTGATTTATACTTAATTTAAAAAAATGTATTTTGAATATATATTAAACATTTTAAAAATAAAAATCCAAAGAACATAGTACATAACGTGGAGTGGTTTATCTCCCAACAAAACAAAAAATATGGGGCCGCTCCATATGGATTTAAATGCTAATTAAAATTTCAGAAGTTTTAAAATAATTATTAATTTTAAAAGTAATTATAAAACCATATTAAATTTTATTAAATTATTATAAAAACGTAACAAATTATTGTAAAATTGTTTTAAATTTTATTAAAATTCATCATTGTTTTATAAGGTGAAGTTATGGTTTTATAATAATTTATTAAGTTTTATAATAATTTATTAAATTTAATAATTATTTTATAACTTTTATAATAAAAAATCTTTTTATTTAATTTAATAATAATTCATATATTTTATTATTTCCGTTGAGGAAACTCCAAGTCCAGGCCAATTAAGTAATGCAAAGAATACTAACAATCAGTTGGTCTAGTGGGATGAGACACTAGGTCCCTTAAGCAAAGTTAGGGGTTCGAATCCTGACGTTTGTGAATGGAGCAAACTGGGTTGGGAGGGTCGCCATTGCCTCTGCAGTACCCGATCTAAATTAGTCGGTCAATAGATCGGATATCAGTGATTAATTCAAAAAAATGAAGGAATGGTAGAGTTTTCAGAGAATGTGAACTTATTAATATGAATATTTCTGGAGCATAATTTACGTGGATGAATACATTAGCATGATTTACGTGGACAGAGGATGTTTCCTAATATGATTGAATCATAAATTAGGTCGAAAATATTATATTAATTGATCAAAAACTCATATTTAATCAAATTATAAATTCATTTCATGATGTTTTGGATGATGTTGTGTAATTCATTTTTCATTGTTTGGTAAATTTTTTAAATATTTTTTATTATAAACATCAAATACAATAAATTATATTATTTATTAAAAAAATATTAATATTATTTTTTAAAATATTAGAAATATTTTTTTCATATTATTTTTATTAATAATATTATTAAAAATATAATATCTATAATTTTATAAAATATTAAGATTATTATATTTTATTAATTAAATTATTATAAATTAATTTAACTATTTATGAAAATAATAATAATATGCTATTAATTATACTAATTACTTATTAAAATAATAATATTATTAAAATATTAAAAATATAATATTAAAATAAAAAATATTTTATTATATTATAGTTTAAGGAATATATTTTAAATATTCAATATTCAATAATATTATTTTTATGAAATTAAGTAAATACTATAAATTTTATTAATAATTTATTATTATTAAATAAAAATATAATATTTATTCCTTCATATTTAAAAATTCTATCAATTTAATATTTATTATTCTTCCAAACTATTTGTTCTTCATTGTTCATCATTATTCTTATTTGGGTACTCTCGTTAATACTAGTACTTCATTTGAAATCATTAATTAGTTTAATACACAAATTTATAAATATAAATGTATTTTTAGTTATTTTTTAATATTATATTTTATTTTCGAAAAAATCAATTACATAAAAACAAATATACCCTAAATTATGAAAAGCTTGTTCTAAACACTTTTATCTTTATCTCACATGCATACAAGCATTATATATTATCGTTAAACATATAAATTATTTAAAACACAAACCAAAAACACATGTAACTTTCGCATGAACCAAATTATCTCGGTAGTTAAAAGAATAATTGTTATTCTTAGAAGTCTCGGGTTCGAGTACCAAGGATACACACTAAACGTGCACCTTAGCTAGTCCTACGTATTATACACATTATAAATACGGATACCTACCATAGATACACTCTAAACGTGCACCTTAACTACTCCTACATATTATACTCATTATAATTAACATACCTACCATAAATACACACTAATGCGCACCTTAACTACTCCTAAATATTATACTCATTATAAATACACATATCTACCAAAATACACCTTAGCTACTCCTACATATTATAATCATTATAAATATGCATATCTACCATAAATACACACTAAATGTATACCTTAGCTACTCCTACATATTATACACATTATAAATATGCATACCTATCATAAAAACACTCTAAACGCGCACTGTAACTACTCCTACATATTATACACATTATAAATATGCATACCTACCATAAATACACACTAAACACGCACCTTAACTACTTCTACATATTATACTCATTATAAATATGCATACCTACCATAAATACACACTAAACGTGCACTTTAACTACTCCTACATATATACTCATTATAAATATGCATACCTACCATAAATACACACTAAACGGCACCTTAGCTAGTCCTATGTATTATACACATTATAAATACGATACCTACCATAGATACACTCTAAACGCGCACCTTAGCTACTCCTACATATTATACTCATTATAATTGACATACCTACCATAAATACACACTAATGCGCACCTTAGCTACTCCTACATATTATACTCATTATAAATACACATACCTATCATAAGTACACACTAAACGTGCACCTTAGCTCCTCCTACATATTATATATATATATATACACACACTAAACGAGCAACTTAACTATTTTTATATTCATTCACTACAACAAAATAGAGTTTTAGCGACGTTTTTTAGTCTTATAGCGGCGTTTTTAAGCGCCGCTAAAAGTATTTGCGACGATAGGAAAAACGCCGCAAGAAGCGCAGGCAATACCAGCGCCGCTAAAGTTAGCGGCGTTTGAGAACAAAAAATGCCGCAATAGGTCAATATCTATTACGACGTTTTTTGAACAAACACCGCAAAAGGTCGATATCTATAGCGGCATTTTTGGAATAAACGCCGCAAAAAGTTATGATATATAGCGGCGTTTCTAGAAAAAACACCGCAAAAGGTCAGATCTATAGCGGCATTTTTGGATACAAATGCCGCAAAAGAGAAGACCTATACTGTCGTTTTTAGAACAAACGCCGCAAAAGGTCAAACCTATAGCGGCGTTTTTGGACACAAACGCTGCAAAAGGTCAGACCTATAAAGGCGTTTTTGAACACAAACGCCGCAAAAGAGAAGACCTATAATTAGAACAAACGCCGTAAAAGGTCAGACCTATAGCGGCGTTTTTGGACACAAACGCCGCAAAAAGTCAGACCTATAGCGGCGTTTTTGATACAAACGCCGCTAATTACCTTTCTTTAGCTAATATTAATTGATTTTGCATATTTCATTTCTGCTATACATCACCTAAATTTATATCTAGCTTTATCTAATTAACAACAACCATACATTTTAATTAAGACAAAAAACATAAAGAAAAATACTTAACAACAAAATAAATTAAATTTTTTTTATGGAGAGAGAACCTTACAAGACATTAAAATACAAATGAGTTACAACTGAACCTCAAAGTGTAGATATACATGGATTTATTTTTCGATACATCCTCAATTTCACTAGCGTCATCATCATAACCTCCAGATATGCCTTCTAAAGCTACTTTGTTTCCCACTTCATTGGAATTGTCATATTCATCGGCTTGACATCTTATTTAAAAGTATCATTTGACAGTGAATGATCTCTCCTCAATAGATTAAAAACAAATGGGAAACGCTGTGCCAGTCTATTGAAGAAACCGCTTTTTGTTGAAGTTTGTTCTTCAATATTACTACAATTACAATAATTTAGATGAGACTAAGAAGAGAAGGAAACAACCAGCAGAACTTGCATTCATAACATACATGTGAGTGATTGAGAACTGAAAAAAGATGTTGCAACAAACAACAAAAACAGGAAGTCAGGAACCATGAAAACTAAAATATATTCTACATAAGAATGTAAAAAATGTCATCATAAAGAAAAAATTTAATAATGTATTGGTTGCCATCTTACTTTTAGAAGTTAGAATTCTTACCCCAAGAATCTGAGCAAGTTTGTATTCTTAGAAAAGTTAAGGAAATAAAAAAGAGGGATAAGCAATGAAATCTTATAATTTTGGATCAAGAAAGCATGCATGTCTAAGTCCCTCAAAGTTCATAGGGAAAACCCTAGTAGGTTCAATCATTTCAAGATTGCTTCATGTGCCTTTTGATCCTATTCATGATCAGTAAAAAAACAATGAATCAAGGACATATATTTCCAGTTATAACTTTGTACTATAAGAATTTTAGACGATAAAAGAACTCAAAAAGTGAACTACTTACTCAAAAAATGATCCCCGAACACTGTGCTAACAAGCATGTTCCCTCATTGCTTGATTCTTCTGAATTCCTTAAAACGAAGAATTATACAATTAATTCAAACCCATAAGGACTGTACATATACAGAAAACAAAGAGATAACAAAGAAAATATATTATATCTGAGTTTGAGCTTCGCAGCTCCTAGAAAAGTATCAAATTATTAGAGTGAAGCTTTCAAAGAAAACATGGACCATAAAACTTTCGAGAGTTTGGTTATTTTCTCTTTCATTGCCAATGAAAGCTTGACCAGTACGGTATAATATAAACAAAAAGAAAAAAAATAAAAAGAATAATATATTCAAGGACTTACCTGTATTGTTACTAGTATGTTATTGGCCACGAGTTTAAAGCTTGAATATATCATCTTACTATAACACTTCACCATGAAGTTGTTTTGATATAAACAAAAAAAATCTCTTTTAAGTATTTACACCAAAAGCTACTCATTGCTTATACTGAATTTCTTCTCCAATTGAAGTAATTGGAAGGCTAGTAACAATCAAGGACCATAAAC